GAGTTCAAACTCAGGTTACCATTTTTCACTTAACAGATTAACAAAGATCAGAAAGCTAGAGTATGATTAAGTAGATGTTCTCAATACTTGCATCCTTTTTTTATTTTTAACATTGACAGCAATTCTTTGAAATAGTTCTGCTATTTTCCATATAATACAGATGAGTTAACTTAGTCACAGAAATGGTTAATAGTTTGCCCAGAGTTTAAAATTGAAGAACTAGGGGTGTCTGGGTGGCTCAGTCGGTTAAGCCTCTGACTCTTGATTTTGGCTCAGGTAGGTCATGATACTTAGCCCCTCATCCAGTTCTGTGCAGATGGCACGGAGCCTGCTTGGGATTCTCTCTCTCCCTCTCTCTCTTCCCCTTTTCTGCTTGTGCATGCACACACACACATGCTTGCTCATGCACGCTCTCTCAAAATAAACATTTTTTAAAAATAAAGTTGAAGAACTAGAACTTGAGCTCAGGCTCTTTGAAGACAAAACCTCCCTAACTCTTAACATAAGCAATACAGTATTATCCCTGTTACTACTAGCCAACCCATAACAGCATTCACAAAATACCTATAAAATCAAGTAGAAGAATATTTGCCATCATTTACTGAACACCTTCTACATGTCAGATTCTGGGAATTTTATGTATTCACACATCAGATCCTCACAAAAACCTTAACAGGTGGGTGGCACTATTTTTACTTATGAGCTCACAGAGAGGTAGTTTATATAAAAAATTATAGCTAGCAAATTTCATAGCCAGAATTCAAACCTTAGTCTTATTCCAGAGCCCATACTTCTTAGAATAACATGTAAAGATTTGACATTTTTTATATGTACCTAAATTCAGTTTCTTCCTCTTCAGTGGGGGAATTTCTCATATTGAGGGATCTAGTATTCTGAGTTTCCCTTGTCTCTGCTCCACTGTTTGTAGACCTACCTGCCAGACTAACTATATCCTTAGCTTAGAATGTCTTCTCTGGATCCTTGTCTTTTACCTCAGTTAGACTTGATGACTTGGACATGCTAAGGATTCCTGCCCCCTTGGCCCCCTAGAGATTGAGGGATGAGCTCTAAGAGTGAGTCACCTGAATTTGTATCTCACCTTTTATCTGCAAATACATTGGAAGCGGAGAGTCCGTTAGGTTGTATCAAATTTGTAAAGGAAGATTAAGAACCGCTGCCATCGAGCAGCTGCCATGCTTTACTTCCCAGGTTCTTGGCCACTTCAGGCCTCTAAAGCTAAGGTGTCACAGGCGAATGCTTAACGACCTCTGTAGCGCAAAGAATGTTTAACTTGCATGGTTTTATTTACAACGCCTTCATTGTTTAAGCAAAAGGCTTTACCTACCCAGAGTTCAGAAACTGACAGGCAAGCATTTTTCTGTAAGTTCAAGTGAAAAGTGCCATCTTGAAAACCTACTTGGGCTCCTTTTCTAAACTTAGAGGTGGTGATGGGTAGAGAGAAAGGGAGTCAGTTGGAGGGCCTGAGGTTCACTTTGACTTAGGTAAGGACTCTGTTATGCTAGCCACCCTTGTCTCCCCACAGCTCCCAACAGAAAGAACTTTGTTAGGACAGATAACCTCACCTAAATAATAAACTCTGGAAGGAAAAGCAGAAATTGCTTCGAAGAAGTGACGAAGTAGGAAGACATCTAAACTTGCCAGGAATAAATACACAAATTCGTGAAGGGGTTTTAATGAAAGACTAAATTAATGAAAACAAAAGCTAAGATGAGGGGCACCTGGGTGGCTCAGTCGGTTAAGCATCCAACTTGAGCTCAGGTCATGACCTCGTGGTTTGTGAGATCCAACCCCATGTCGGGCTCTGTGCTGACAGCTCAGTGCCTGGAGCCTGCTTCGGATTCTGTGTCTCCCTCTCTCTCTCTGTCCCTTCGCCATTCACACTGTCTCTCTTTCTCTCTCTCTCTCTCTCAAAAATATTTTTTAAAAAAAGCTAAGAGGAATAATAATATGCTTTTGATGTTTTAGGCGGGACCAGATGATATCAGGAACTTTGATGCAGCATTTACAGAAGAAACAGTTCCGTATTCTGTGTGTGTGTCTTCTGACTATTCTATAGTGAATGCCAGTGTACTGGAGGCAGATGATGCATTTGTCGGTTTCTCTTATGCACCTCCTTCAGAAGATTTATTTTTGTGAACAGTTTGCCATCCAGAAACCATTGAGGCGAATACAAGCCTACAGATGAGACTGAAACTCCTGTTTGTGTGAACATATTCAAATCTGTTTAACTAGTGCCTCATTTTTACATGTAATGTTAAATATGAAAAATGTATTTTCTGCTGTATGCAAGAAAATAGGGCATTTCAAAGAGCTAAGTTTTGGATTAAAATTTGTATTATTGTTTACTAGCTTATTTTTAAACAAATTTTAAAAGCTATTGTTCTCAGCATTAACCTATTTTTAAAGAAAACTTTTTGCTAATGACTGTTTTTCCCCCTCAGTTTACACTAACATCTACCCAAGACAGACTATTTTGCAACAGCCTATTTCAGTTCAGTTAACATAAATTAATGCCTTTGTAACTCTCTACTTTGACCTTTGTTCTCAGATCAGAACTATGCAATTGGTATGTGGTTAAGAAGAAATCACATCTTTCCATGAGAAGTCGTTGGTTGACATAATCAGTTCTTCGTAGGATTAAAATGTAAAAGCATAGTTAACACATGGGCTGTGAGTTAACACTTGGAGTAAGTGTTCATTCTGCAGATCAAATTAAGAAATAACAAGGAGATCCTTTACTTTTGAAATACCAATTCAAATTTGCCAATTTTTTTTTTTCTGTAAGAAAAGTAAAAGCTTAATAGTTAGAAGGTTTAAATATTCCCAAAGATCTGAAGGGTAATAAAATACTACTGGATTTTTTTTTTAGGTGGTGCCAAAAATGAATGTCTCTGTGTCATGTATTTATATTACAAATACATTCTATTTATGTTCTTTTTGGTCTTTTGATGTTATTGTTAAGTAGGCCTAAATCTCAGTATTTGCTTTTGCAGACAGCTGTGTAAAACTGTTTTTCTAATTGGTTAATAAGTGAAAAATATTGAGCTTTCTGGAGTTTTTACCTAATTGGGAATTAAAAAACAGAATAGCAAATTCTAGGTCAGTGTAAATATATATTTCGCTACAATGTAACAAGTTAAAAATAATTCCAGCAGATGCAACGACAGTATCTTACTTGTCTTACGAAAAGTACAGGAAACTGACCTTAAAATCATACTAAAAACCAACTAACTGTGGACTTGTCACTATGAAGAGAATACAGAAAAACTAAAAAGAGTGCTTGTCTTGGAATTCTGCTTCTTAGAGTAGAGATTCTTCAAGTCATGTAGGAAACATTGTGAAGGTTTCGAGACCAACTTTAAAAGCTTAAGGAACAAGCATTCTTTCCATGTATTTCCTCTTGAGAAAAAAAATCACAGAAGCATTTCACACCAATACCCTTTGGCTTAAAAATGTTCATCAAAATGGGGTGGGGGAGTGTGCTTTTGTTAGATTAATAATATTTGCATCCAATACACTGAATCTTACTTTAGAGGTAAGACTTTAATAGGGACACTGTAAATATTTGGTTTATTTGGCACTACTGTAAGTTCTGCTTTTACACAAAGCTCTTTGCTTATTATAAAGCAAAATAAAAACTGTAATCTCCTGTATGATTTATTTTTTACTCAGCCACTCCTTAATTAAACTGCCAAAAATTAAAGTGCAATATTGTATATTTTTAAGAACAAATTTAAAATATTATGCTGATGTTTATTGGATACAAGAAATACAACTCTTACAGTAAAATAAAACTAGCAAAAAGATTAATAATCCTCTAATTCCTGTCATTATTTTAAATTAAATTGGTGATGGTTTAGAAAAGTCATTACAAAAATGATTTGTATATGTGAGGAATAAAAGTATAAAACTTAAATATTTGGACACACATAAAAATTAGATTATATGGATTATCATAGGCTGACATATTTAATATTCAGGGAACAAAACCTCTTCCAAGTTTCAAGTTTATTTTTTCTTTCATAGCATGCTAAGTCTTTTAGAAAAGAAGTGTGTGCCCTTTGAATAGTTGAACCATTTCATGGCTATTACCAAAATAAACTCAGAGGTCTAAATGAAGACTGCCTAACATTCTTCATGTTATCCATACCTCTTATTTTATTGCATATGGTACAGTGTAGAGCTTCCCAGCCATTGTTACATTATAGCACACACTGAAAATTACAAATTTTTGGCATACCTGAGGAGAGGTGCTAAATGATGCAGGTACTGGCAAGCAGGTTCTCTGTTCAAGATTTTTAAATTCCAAAATAATTTCTGAACTTGAGATATTTACAGAGAGAGCCAACAAACACTGTTTGGATTTAATTTTAGCAATGGTGAACATTTAAAAGGTGGTTTAAATATTTGAAAGATTTATTGTAAAATTTTATCACTATAAAAACCATTACCAGTGTCTTTTAGCATACTTGTTAACTAGTAATTATCCATAGGCATAATATTACAAAACTTTACATATTTTATGAGTCATTCTTTTGTACATCATACACTATGTGAAAAACAGGAGTGAGAATTACAGGAACGTTTTTGGTGATGTTTGAATGACTTTTTTCAATAAAGTGTTTTGAAATTAATAACTTAATTCCTCATTTATGTAGTTTGGAAATTAGGTCTGTTTTAAAAATGGGATTTCCTGCCACTTACCTTTAAAGTCAGTGTTTACAATTCTGTGGATTTTTATAGATTATTCCATATCCCAAGGTCATTGTTCATTTATGTAGAACCCTAGAAATATGTAGACGAGTTTCAGGTGGCTTGAGTACGTTGAAATAATATGCCAACTTCTGTGTATAAATGAAATTGACTTGGGACAGGAAGTTGTGTTACATGGCTTTGTTCAGATGCCCAAAAGGATTCACTGCTGTAAAATGATTGGGCTTCTTCTCTACCATTTTTGTTCTCATTTACTCACCTACAATTAAGAGAAATTGCTCTTGGGGCACCTGAGTGGCTCAGTTGATGGAGCATCCGACTCTTGATTTCAGCTCAGGTCATGATCCCCAGGGTCGTGGGATCGAGCCCCACATTGGGCTCCATATTGGGTGTGTGTAGCCTACTTAAGATTCTCTCTCTCTCTAAAAATAAAAAGAATTTTGTTGTTGTTGTTTAAAGAAATTGCCTTCTAACTTCCCTGAAATCATTCCAATTGGGAATTTTTGTATCTTTAGCATTTTTGGTGTCTTGGGAATATTGCATAATCATTCATTTGTAATCCTTTAAACATAGTCCTTAATAGTTAAAAGGACCACTATGCAAAAATATTTTATTTTGCTATTCCCTTACATCATGCCCATTTTTATAGAGGTAATTGAGAAAGAAATACAGCTGTCTCAAAATGTACCTTTTAAATAATTTACCCAAAGTCAAGAGAGTATAGTTTAAAAGCATATTACACAAAAAAAGCCTATGAGAAGTATAAATTCAGAGTGATATTTATAGCAGTGAAGTAGCTAATCAAAGGATCCTACAAACAAAAGGTTAATTTTACACATACTGAAAATGATGAATCACTATATGAATCTTAGTAACATAAAACAAAAATTGCATCACTTTACATAACCTTCTTACTGGAAGAACCAGACACATTTGGTGATTTTACAAATCTTGTGCTCAAATGTAACATGGAAGTTTTTACTATAAATTCTGTTTTGCAGTAATATATCTCACAGATTTATCATTTTCTTCTAACATTTTTCAGCATTTTCATGTTATTAGGAAGCAGAGATTTGCACTTCAAGTTTAGGTAAGTTTCTGTGGGAAATTCCACAATGAGTTGTCAATATTTAAGTGTTACTGTGTTAACTTATGGAATCCAGTAGGCGGTAAAACAGACTTACCCAAATAGTCTAATTTGATCTCAGTGTGTTAGACGTTTTCAGTTCTTTCCAGATAGTAGTTAATATAGCCTTGCTTTGTTGAATTTTTCTCTTATATGTCAATGATAGTAATAATAGAAAAATTACAACCTACTTTGCTAATGATACAGTGATGTTGAACATTAACACTTACTTTAGGTAGCCCTAGCTGTATGCCTCAGTTGGGTGTCAAAAGCAGAGTTTTGTGTTTGTCAAAACTCATACGACTTGAATACTTAAGAGTTGTGTGTTTTGCTTCATATAAATTATACCTCAGTGAAAAATATTCAAAATAAAAACAGTTATATATGATAAAAAGTAAAATATAAGTAATCCAAAATGCTACCATCTTAAGTATTTGAGCCATTGTACCACATTACATGTGAAAGAATTCAGGAATTTGCAGCCAAAGAAAAACTAAAGGCAAAGAGGTGAAAATAGCACAACCTGAGGCATGTAAGCATATAAGAATGCACAACGGGGACTTCCAGTTTCCCCTGTAAAGTGCTTAGAAGCTGCCAAGTAAAAAACTGAACAGACTGAATCATCAACTCTTCTTGGATACAGAAGAAGAGAGAGGACACAGGGCAAACTGCTACCCCTAACACTGGGGAGATGGGTGAATATAGAGAATTGGAACTTATTGGAGCAGAGACTCAAACACTGCGGGAGCCAGTGCAGGAGTAAGAAAACCTGAACTAGATTTAACAAATTGCTGGAGGCTAAGTGTAGACCACTGAGAGTTCAAAAGTCCAGGGGGACCCAGTCTTAGGGATCCCTACAGTTTTGTGAAATTGACCACCTAGCTTCTCACAAGAAATATCGGGGAAAAATTCTCTTGTGCTTCCAGCAGGAGGAGAAAAGGGACAATTTTCTCTCTTTTTTAAAGAATGCAAGCAAAGGAGGGCAAAGTGAGGGGGACAGAGGATATGAAGCAGGCTCTGTGCTGACAGCAGTGAGCCCAATGTGGGGCTTGAACTCACAAACTGTGAGATGAAAACCTGAGCTGAAGTTGGACGCCCAACCGACTGAGCAACCCAGGTGCCCCAGGGACAATTTTCAAATATGCCAGGATATTCTGGTCTTCTCCTAACTTTAGGAAAAACTAGTTAATCATAATGTCACCTGCAGGGGTTTTCTCAGAGTCTAACAGAGACTAATGTACAAGAAGGAAAGTACCAAACTTATAGTCAGTTCAACTCTTATGTGTAGGAGAAGGGACCCAAGTTCAGTCCACTCCACCCACCCTGTGCCACCTAATGAGGGAGAAAAAAATCTAAGAAAGACACTTAAGTTTGTCCAGAGGCATGGGTTTACTAAAATAAGGACCTATCAAAAGGAGTATAGAACACTTCCCCTTCCACTATACCACATTGCCACATTTTAAAAGACCTATTTGTAGCACTTCCTTTTACCCACTACATCATATCTGGCTACCAAGAAAAATTACAAGGCATACTAAAAGGCAAAAAGCAAAACAAAACAAAACAAAAAACCCACAAATTACAATTTGAACAGATACAGCATCAGAAATAGACATGGCAGGATGTTGGAATTATCAGACCATGAGTTTTAAAAAATTATGTTTAATATGTTCAGGGCCCAAATGGATAAAGCAAGAATAGATGGGTTATGTAAGCAAAGAGAAGGAAATCATAAGACTAAAGAGAAATGCTGGAGATTTAAACAACAAAAACTAACAAATGAGAAATACCTTTCATGAGCTTATTAGTATACTGGACATGGCTGAAGAAAGAATCTCTGAGCTTGAGGTTATTTCAGTAAAAATCTCGAAAGCTGAAAAGCAAAGAGAACAAAGACTGAGGAAAACAGAACCATATCTAGGGACAGTGGGACAACTACAAAAGGTTTGTAATGTACATGTATAGAAATACCAGAGGGACAAGAAAGAAAAAAATATTTGAAGTT